AAGGGATACCACGTGGTAACACTGTATGTGTTAGGGGTGGAATGGAGTGGGAGGTAACATGTCCTTAAATCTTCCTACCCCAACAGTGTGCTTCTTCTGGGCTTGCGGAGCGGGCAGGGAAAGAGCTACACGGGGGAGAAGAGGATAAGGAGAAAAGAGTCTCCAGGCTTGTCTCTGCCTGTCTCTGACTTCATTGTGTCTCACACAACAACCATTGTTTGTCGCCAGGCCAGGCAGGCAGCAGAGGCCCAGATGCTGATTTGGACCCTGTCTCCAGCTGTATGTGATGTATGTTTGTGTGCCCTTGGGGGTCTGCCCTTCTGGCCCTCACTCTAAGACTGGCAGTGGGATCCGCAATTGTCTCTCAAAATTCTTATAGGCTCTGAACCCTGCCAGGCTCGGATTCTCTCCAGCTCCTCTGGCCACCGCTAGAGGGCGGCAGCCCACACAGCCAGGCCCAGAGAACTTCAGCGGTCCTCTCGGGCTTGCTCCACCCTTTTCATGCATACACCTGTGATCTTCCCAGCCCCTACGGATGCACAGGCCCCAGCCACGTGGGCCACTGGGACCACAGAACCAACTAAATGTCATCCCTGGCCTTGGGCACAGTGAAGGTATAAGTCTATGATCACAGAATGTGAGAAGGTGACCAGGGGTGGCCAAAGCCAGAATGCTGAGGTACACTCATTAGTCCCTGTAAGGATAAAGGCATGAAGAAGAAGAGCCAGGGAACAAGCAGGCTGTAGGGAGATAAAGCAGAACTGGTCAAATGGCACATGATGACTAGGCAGACAGAATTACTCTGTCAGCAAACGCAGTGGCTTTAAGAGACCAGAGGAAACCATGTGGCTCTGGAGTTAGACTTCCTAGATTCAAATCCTGGCTCCTCCAAGTACTAGTTGTGTGACCTCAGGCAAGCCTGGGTTGTGGGTTTGATTCCTGGTCGGGGAAGTTATGAGAGGCACCCAATCGATGTTTCTCTCTCACATTGCTTCTTCTCTCCCCCTCTCCCTTCCTTCCCTTCTCTCTAAATAAGTTAATTAAATAAAATAAAGGAAAAAATTAAAAAAAATAAGTGTATGTAGTTACTGAAGGCTATCAATATCCAAATCAACAAAACTTTGACTCTATAAGCCCTTTTAATCTTGAATTCCTTGAACTGAGCTTGGGAGCCCTCCTGTTCCCTCTGATCTCTCCTTCAAGGGAGGCTGGATTTGTCCCCTCTTCTGACCTCCTGCCTAAGTGTGGGTCCCAAAGAGCCTCCCTGACCCTGCCTTCCCTATATGGTACATGGAGCAGATAAGAGCCAGTAACCCTTAGTTACTTCTCAGGGCTCTCAGTAAATCATGGCTTCTCCTTTCCTGCGCTCAGAGGAAATGTGAGTTCTCAACATTGGTTCCCTAGGCCAGTCTTGGCTCTGAGACTATGGGGAAGTGGAAGTGAAAGTGCCCCGCCCTGGAGTAACAATCCAGACTCAGTCATAGGTGAATGCACGTAACTAACTTTTTGGGCCTCAAGTCTCCCTTACCTATAACTCTGGGGAGGAATGGGGGAATACTCTATATTTTCCTTCCTCTCTGGGAGGATAATGTTTAAGAAAAAGTGAGGCCAACTAAGATCTTAGTGTCCCTCCATTTACTTATGCTTTTGTGTCCCAAACACAAATTTCCCAGTAGAAAAGACCAGAGCATGAATCTCTCCTATTGGGCTAAACAGATGATAACCAGGTCACGTGATCCGAGGTTAGCAAATTTATCTGTGGGATACCACACAGTGGCTTTTCTCACGAAGGGACTAAGTACCTGCAGGAAATCTGAGGCATCCTGGCTGGTCCAGCATACCTCAAACCTTTTAACTTTAAACTTAATTTATAAGTAGGTAATACATTCACATATACTTACATAGTTTAATGTTTTATGGATATAAAAAGAAATACAGTGGAGATGTTCTCTCTCATTCTTGAACTCCACCTCTTCTCTTCCTAGGAAGCAAGCAAAATTACCATTTTCTAATGGGTCCTTCCAGAGATACCCTATATAAAGAAATACTTATGTATCTTCTTTCTCCTCATGCTTTTGCTTTTCTCAAGAGAAGATTCTCCCATATGGGTATATAAAGAATATCCTCAATTGTTTTTATGGCTCTGCTTTATAATGTACCAACATGTACTTATCCAGTTTCCCTTTAATGGACATTTAGATTGTTTTCAGTTTGTCCTAGTGCTATAATGAAGATTCCATAAATCAGTACACAGTTATTTAAAGCACCACTGCTCCTTATATATGTCCCTCAGGGACTCTAACCCAAAGCCTTGGGACCCCTTAGAAATCAGAAGATACAGAATTCAGGGATACAAACTCAAGGACTCCAGCAAGTTGGAAGGGAAAAGTCTTCCATGTTTATTTGCACTAATCTCTAAGTGAAATTTGACATTTCCTTCCATTATGAATGCAATGATTTCACAGTAGTTAGCAGTATGTGACTTTCCCATCTAATGATAGAAGATATTTTGAAATATTTACATTCACCCCTACTTTGTCATTGTGGTAGTAAAGGAAAACTGTTTCTTTACTCACAACATTTCTGACCCCAAATGTGTGCTTATCCCCCCATATCAACCCATTTTCCAACTTTCTGGACACCAACTGGGAGTCCTATAATTATATTCAATTTTGACAATAATTCCCTGGAGTTAGCATCAGATCCCACAGATTTAAAGGCTCAGTCCCACAAGACTGCCTTCACTCTACATTCCAGTCACAGTCCTGGGTCCCGGAGGTACCCACATTTCTGTCTGACTTGACTACAAATTGGAGGTTCCCACACACCCCCTCAAGTTCAATAGTTTGCTAGAATGGCTCACAGAGCTCAGAAATTCTTGCTGACATTTACCAATTTATTAAAGGAGATGAGAAAGGATAAAGCTGAATGGCCAGATGAAGAGATACGTGGGGTGAGGTAGGGAAGAATCCCGAGCACAGGAGCTTCTATCTCGGTGGAGCTGGGGTGTGCCACACTCCCAGCATGTATATGCACTCCCCAACCAAGGTCTCTTAACCTCAGAGTTTAGGGATTTATCTGGAGGCTACATCACACAGGCATGACTGATTATTGACTAAGTCAGTATCCAGCCCCTTGTCTCTCCCTGGAGGATAGGAGATGGGATTGAAAGTTTTAAGTTTCTAATCAAGGCTTGGTCATTCTGGTGACCAGATCCCATCCTGAAGCTATCCAGGAGCCCACTAAGAGTCACTTCATTAGAACAATACATGCTCCTATCATCCAGGAAATTCCAAGGGCTTTAGGAGTGCTGCATAAGACACTCCTCTCACCTCCATCACTGAGGGAATTACAAGGGTTTTAGAAGCTCTGTGTGAGGAACTATGGGCAGAGACCAACTATATATATTTCTTATTCTGTCAGAGGTAGATAATTATTAGATTTTCCATTAGATATGGTTTATGTTATGCATTAATAGAGAAGAACATAAATTATTATATTACACGTTTAGTTTTCTAAAAAACATTTTGACATCTGTATATCAATGTAATTGCTTTGTCTTATGTATTTCTTAATCATACATAAAATTACCATTTAACATGTTAAGTGTACAGTTTAGTGGCATCAAGTATATTCACGCTGTTGCGCAACTGTAACTACCATCTATCCACAGAACCTTTCATCTCCCCAAGGTGAAACTCTGGACCTATTAAACACTAACTTCTCATAGCTCTCTCCCCTAACCCTAACCACCATTTTACTTTCTGTCTTTATTTGATCACTCTAGATACCTCAAATGAGTGGAATCGTACAATATTTTTGTGTCTGGCTTATTTCACTTAGCATAATGTCTTCAAGGTTCATCCATGTTGTAACAGGTGTCAGAATTTCATGTCTTTTTAAGGCTGAATAATATTCCACTAAATGTACTCACCACGTTTTGCTTATCTCTTTATTTGTTAATAGACATTTGAAGTTCCACCTTTTGACTCCTGTGAGTAATGCTATTATGAGCATTGGTGTGCAAATATCTCTTTGAGTCCCTGCTTCCCTGCTTACAATACTTGTTGGTATATACCCAGGAGGGGAATTGCTGGATCATATGGTAATACTGTTTAATTCTTTGAGGAATATATATTTATTGTTGTGAATAAAAAATATTATTCTGAAAAAAAAGAAAAATATTATTCTGAGATGAGAAGCATACCAGACTCCGTTATACATACTCTATTTTTGCATGCCTGTCTCGGCCACTAGATGGGGGACTCTTGATCAAGGGTTCTGGGCTCCTTGCGCCTTCTTGTCCCACAGGTGTAGTAAATGTATTCGGCGCCTAGTGGGCGCTTGTGTGCCCTGCACTAGGCGAGTCGTAGGCGATACGAAGGTGCAGATTGTACCCCAAAGGAACTCAACCAGAGGGAGATTTAGGCTTGAGGATGGCTGATCAAAGGCGCCCCAACTCCTGTCTGTGCCCCTTTCCAGATGTATAACTTGAGCTACGGTAACCTTTCTTGGCCCCAGCTTCCCCATCCGTGCAATGGTCTGCATCATCGAATCAATATCCATCAAGAGCATACCGCGTAGCCTTTAGCACAGTGCCTGGTACATGTTAGACACTCAACAGTTCTGTCCCTGTTATCTGCAGGGCAAGAGAAAGCCCAATAGAAAACCTGCTTGGAGGCTTCTGGCCCAATGTTGCTGCGGGGAGGTCCGGAGGCCCTCCTCTGCCCTACACATCTCTCCAGGTTGGCGGAGGAGTGCACAGCGAAGGGTCCCTGTACTGGCGCCGCATCTTCGCCGCTCTGGTCCGCTTTGCCTCCCCCGGGATGCCTCGCCGACCATTCCCTTGGTGCAGCCCCGGGGAAGCCTGACGATCCGCGAGCGCGCGCCTCACAGGACAGCAGCGGTTTTCCCTCCCAGCCGGCAGGCGGCGCCAGTCTAGACCCGACCGGGGCGGCGCTCGGGCCCGGCTCCTCTCAGCGGCGGCGCACGGCGGTCCGGCCGTCGGCGGGGCGGGGACGCGGCAGCGGTGGCGGCGGCTCCGTGTCGCCGGAGCCCGAGCGCGCAGGCCCGGCCCGGCGGTCGGCGGCTGGGCGGGGCGGGGGCGCCATGTGGTTCATGTACCTGCTGAGCTGGCTGTCGCTCTTCGTCCAGGTGTCCTTCATCACGCTGACCGTCGGTGAGAGTGCGCGACCTGGGCCCTCGCGGGCTTCCACTGCGGCATCTTTGCTCGCTGGGGGTCACACTATGCGGGCGCCGGAGCGACCCGGAGACCCGTGTCCGGTACTCCCGGCCTTCGCATCCCCCCTCCTGCTGAGCCCAGCAGCTCAGCCTGACTGCGGGTCCTTCCAGGTGTCACAAAGTACTTCCCAGCAGTGCCGGAGAGTGGCTCTCAAGTTCCCTGCGCCGGCGCGCCGCCTAGGACTGCCGCGCCCACCCTCGGGGACTGGCAGCGCCGAACTTTTACCCGACAACTATCGCCGCCCTTTGGCCTGCGGCCCTTCCAACTTCTTACTCTGACTTGGACGTTCTTCCCCTTCCCGGCTAGTTCCTACTGTGGATCTCAGCTAAGATCTCACCTTCTCCGGCAAACCCTACTGTGGAGTTTGGTGGTCCAGCAGTGCCCCTACTTTCCCTAAAATAACACTTATCACGCTGGAATCATCTGATTCCACTTCCTCCGCTCTCCCTTACCTCATCCCCCCCACCCCCACCTGGGTAAGAGAAGGGGCATTGTCTGTCTTTAGTGTATTCTCAGCACTCAGCCCAGCACCTGGCCCATTTTAAGTGCCCAGCAGATATTTATTCAGTGAGTGAATGAAATTGCCATTTACGGGGGTGGGGGAGGGGCGGGGTGACAGAGATAATCAGAGTGCTGAGGTGCCAGATGCAGGTTTTCACTTTTATGAAATCTCTGCTTAGTTGCTCTGATAAAGTTTTGCTTTCAGACACATGGGTTGTTTGGTTTGTTCCTTATCTTCAGGAGTCCATGAGGGGTGATGGGGACCCAGTTGCAGAGAAAGGGGTGATCATGATTGTGGGAGTGACCCCGGTTAATATTCTCTGCTTGCTCTTATTGTGCCCCCAGCGGCGGGACTCTATTATCTGGCAGAACTGATAGAAGAATACACAGTGGCCACCAGCAGGATCATAAAATACATGATCTGGGTAAGTGGCTGCTTCCCACAGGGTTTACCCTTTTTTGTCCCACCTCAAAAGAAAGAAGTGGGGAGAGTGTGGCATGGATGATGAGACCTCTGTCCCTGCTGTTTCCAGAGGGTACCACCCCTACCTCCCTACCCTGTACCTTGTTCTCTAGGTCTGCTCTCCTGGGCCCTGGTCTTTGCCTCCTTCCCTAAGTGGCAGTGCTTCACTGCAGACCCCATTCTCAGTTCCATAAGGTGACAGCTGAAGGCACATTCTCTGTTGACAGGACCATGGCTTGCCTTTGCTTGGCTGTCTTCCACTGTCTCTAGCCCCTTGCTCTGCTTGCAGCATTTAGAAGTGAGAGGAACCTTAAGGACAGTTCTGAGTACTTATCCATTACCCTCTTTCTCATTGGATCAAGTGATTCGTCCTAAGAAGGTGACACCTTCCCTGGCCCAGGCCCGGCCCCGCCCCTCCCCCCCCCCCCCAGTCTCATGGAAGGCTTCTCTTTCTGAAGACACAATCCTTGCCATGATGTCAAACCCACAGGAGTGCCTGCTGGTGGATAGATTGCTGCCGGCTGCAGGAAAGGCTGGGGGTCGGGGTGGGAGCGCATTTGCACAGGAGCCCAGTGCCTCTCAGGTCACCCGGGTGTCAGCAGGCACTTCCATTCTGGGCTTTGCCTGAGGTAGGGAGTTAGTGGTAGAGACCAGTGGTGGCTCTCAGCTTTGGGTGCAGAGGTTCAGTTAATGAGTCTTGGTACAGGAATTTGACCTTCATTTAAACAATTGTTGTCTGTTAAGCACTGACAACTGTAAGTCTTTCAGAACAGCATTTTCAGGTTTCAGGTATGATTCATTATTGGGTTGTTATCAGCTCATTAGCTCATGATCAACATAAAAAAATGGAATAGAAAAGACAAGAATTGAAATTTGAACTAGATCATATATATGTATGTGTGTGTGTTGGGGTCACAGTGTAAATTTTTTATTACTGTGGGTTGCTGTCAAACATTTTGAGAACGGCATTTAAGGATGCTACACTTTGGGAGCTGAGAGATCTAGTTGGGGAGATTAGATCTGTGACTGAAATGCATAAGATTGAAGCGTGAACCTAGTGTTGCCCTAAGTAGGTTGGGGGTAAATGAGTCCAGGAAGACTGCTTGGAAGAGGTTCCCTGCACTGTGTGCCTCTGGTTGTTTCAGTTCTCCACAGCTGTGCTGATTGGCCTCTACGTTTTTGAGCGCTTCCCTACCTGCATGATTGGCGTGGGCCTCTTCACCAACCTCGTCTACTTTGGCCTCCTCCAGACCTTCCCCTTCATCATGCTGACCTCGCCTAACTTCATCCTGTCGTGCGGTGAGAGGGGGCAGAGTTGAGGAGGCAGCTGAGGTGGTTGGGTGTGCCCAGCTCAGCCCATGGCACTGAAGGGTTATAGAGAAAAGAGGTAAACCGCTGAGGTCCTCCAGGAGGCCAGGCTGATTGGGAAGATGGGGTTCTCACATATGAGGAGACTAGAGCCCACTGTGCCTCAAGTGACTAGAATTTGGTGGGAGTGGCGGTTGGGGGCGGGATACTCAGACAGGGAGAGCTTTCACAGAGAGGTAAGTTCGAAGGTTTGGGGAGAGAGAAGAGGTGGGCAGGCTGAGTAGTTAGAGCTGGTAAGAAACATCTTGTCCAGAAAAAGCCCAAAGCCCTTCTCCGACCGGCAGCCAGGCAGGTCCCCATCAAGTCCTCTAGCCCAAAGTCATGATTATCACTAGAGTCTCATGGGACTGTGGGCTCCCTGCAGACAGCTGCCTTGGGGTTTACGAATGTTTGGAGGACCCTGGCCTCCCTGCCTTTGCCCTGCCACCATTGTCTGACCCCAGGTAGTCATTTCCCCTGTCTCGGTCTCGGCCTGTCCATCTCTTCAAAGATGTTTAGGAGACTCCGTTGGCACATTGTGTGTACTCAGAGATATTTATAGATAATTGCAGAAAAGTCTGGAAAATATTTGGTTACAAGGATTGCCTTTTCTTCCATTAATCATTACTAGTCATCCTAGCCTTTGTTCAGGATAGGATTGGGGGTGTTCAGAGCTACTTTTCTATTTCTATGGGAAAACCTGGGAACAATGTTATCCACAAGGATGGTGCAGAGTTAAAGCTAGACCCGGGCTCCTCTTTGCGAGCCTCAGTGTGGTTTTGCCAAAGGATTTGTTCACCCAGGTTTGGTGTGAGGAGCCCTTCCCTGGATACCAGGCTCCTTATGCATCTTTTTAGGGAAGAGAGCACTGCACCCCAATCCCCCCAGCAGCAGGCTTCCCTCACCTGCCCTTTAGATGCCTGAGAGAGTTTTTCTGAAAGATTTTGTCGGCATGAGGCACCATCCTATCCTCTAGTGCCAGAGTGTGCTCGGGCATGGTAGAGCTGTGCTCTCTGCTTTAGAAGGGAGAGACAAGAGAGGAGAAAGAGATGTGGCAGTTGGTTGTGAGGTGTGTGTGATGGGTGTTCATTTTGAGGGATGCTTTGTTCTGGTGCCTGCCCTTCATCTCCCTATGGGATCAGGCAGGGTGCCCATCTCTGAGCAGCCCCAGAATCTGCTCGCTTGCTCTCTCCCATAAATTCGATTGCACACTAAGGAAATGTGTGAGGTCCAGAACATACCAGTTCAGACCAGTGGGTCTTACACTGGGGCAGGGCAAGACCCTCTCCCCCCAAATTTTAAGGAACCCTAAGGCTGTGCCCCCAAAGTGTCTAGCAAACGGTGCCCTTTTATTCTTCAGGAGTGCTCTTCAGCTGAGTCATCCTTCTCTCTGCTGCCCAGTTGGAGGGGAACCTCTTGGGCTTATGTGACCTGCACACCCGTGACTTCTCCGCCCACTCCCCGTGGGAGAGCTCTCCTCAGGGTGTACTTCCACTCAAAACCCCGGTAGTGATGGTGCTTTGGAGAACATAACACCGAAGTCTCTTTTTTATAACATTCCAAGAGCTTTCTGACCTGCCTTCTAATTTCACTCATAAATGCCCTCTGCAGCCGGCAGGTTGGGGCTAACTCTCCCGTTTTAACATGTAGGAAACAGTCCTGGAGAGTGGTGAGCTTGGCTCAAAGCCATACTCTGAGTCGGGTATCAAGTTAGGACGAAAACTCAGGGCTCCCTACTCCCAGGGGCCTTTTGAAAGTTAAAAGTCCAGCTTTATGTTATTCTCCGTAAACTCACTGAAACTCTTCTTTCCTTCAACAGGACTAGTGGTGGTGAATCATTACCTAGCATTTCAGTTTTTTGCAGAGGAATATTATCCCTTCTCAGAGGTAAGAGGTGTTTAGTACATCAAACTATCAACAGGGACAGAAGGGACAAAGGGGACTTGCAGGATTTGTTTTGTGAACCTAGCTATGATTTGAAACTAAGCCCATATAGGGATAACACATTTTTTAATTTAAAACAGTATAGATGCTTTTAGAGAGCAGCGTGGCTGAGGAGGGGAGGCTCTCCACGCTGGGGCTTGAGGTGGGGAGGACGCTGCTGCCCCCTAGTGAGCCCTTTGTGTCTCCTAGGACCCAGCCTAACACCCTGCGATCAGGAAGGGTCCTTGGAGGGGCCTTGTCTGATGCAGGCTTTGCAGGGCTGGGGCAGGCTGCAGCCCTGAGCCCGGCTCTTCCCAGCAGCCTGCCAAGCTGCCTCCTCTCAGGATTTCACCATACCCTGCCACTCCAGTCTGGACCCCTAGGAAAGAAGAAGGTTCCTTCTTTGGGGAATGTGGGTCAGGCATGGTTTTGCCCTCCATCTGTCTCCTTCTGTTCAGACGAGTTGCTTGTCCTAGCGACCAAGATTTCGGGACTGTGGCCCCAGTCATCTGCGGCCTCCACCTTTCCCCACTATACTGTCTCCATGTCTGAGGGTGTCCGGTCTCTGCTTCCCAGGCCCTGGCCGCCTTCAGAGATCAGGTGCCGGGTCTTCTGTGCACTCTTGACCACCTCTCTAAGATACAAGGTGACCATGCCTAGCTTACTCTTGGCACCTCCAGGGGCACCCTCTTCTCAGTGTCTCTTGTTGCCAGGTCCTGGCCTATTTCACTTTCTGTCTATGGATAATCCCGTTTGCGTTCTTTGTGTCACTGTCGGCTGGGGAGAACGTCCTGCCCTCTACCATGCAGCCAGGAGGTGAGAAGGGGCTTATGGGGGGTCACGGTGGGGGGTGCCAGGAAAGCCTGAGTTGGCTGGGTGAGCTGTAGCCCAGCCCGGTGATGTAGGCCCTTGGGCTTCAGGTGGGGAGAGCCGTGCTCACTTTCGGGGACACACACATACACACACACACACTCATTTCCCTGCCTCTGTCTCCACAGATGACGTGGTCTCCAATTACTTCACCAAAGGCAAGCGGGGCAAACGCTTAGGGATCCTGGTTGTCTTCTCCTTCATCAAAGAGGCCATTCTACCCAGTCGTCAGAAGATATACTGACCCCCTTGGGGAGGGGATGTGGGGGCAGGATCAGGAGAGTCAGGCCCCTGGGCGTCTGTACTAGGTAGGGGCTGTGACCCTGGAAGGTACCTTCCCCCAGCCCTGGCCTGACTTCCTTCAGCTCTCCCTGAAGTCCCCGTCCCCACCTTCCTTGGGATGCTCAGCTTGGCTCAGATCTGACGCTGCTAGAGGCTGTGGCCTCAGAGGGCACCATGGAGGGTGGTCGACCTGGCTGTGTAGAAGCTGAGCTCCCCGTGGCCCTCCCCACCCACTTCCATGCTGGGTCAGGAGGTTCTGGCTCAGTTGGGGCAGGCAGGCCAGGGGCCAAGAAGCTGGAGAGCAGACAGTGATAAGTTCTTTGGGCAGGTGGCCATGGCTTGGCTCCAAGAGAAATCATTTTTGCTGTTGAACTGTGATTTCTGTCCAAGTCTGATTCTTGTTTGAATAAAGATTCTAGGTGGCACTGTTGCCTTAATACCCTGATAATTCATCTTCCTTTCTTCCTGCTGCCCTTCTGCCCTGGACTGGATGGGCTTCTCTGGGCCTTTTCTGGGGTTAGGTCTTGCCTTTCCGAAGGGGGTCTGTTCTTACGGCCCTCAGCCGGAAGGGGGCGGAAGAGGAGCTGAGCCTGATCAGGGCATGGGGAGTGGCAGGTGTAGGCAGCCTTTCTTGTGCCCCTCTCTTTTCTTCTCTTCTTTCCCCAAGGCTCCATGACTGTCAAGGTGGGGACAGAAAGGGGACAGTTTGGGACTGGGATTTTCAGAGCAACATCTACAATACCCTATTTAAAAGTCTTCCCCTGGAGAAAAGGGGTGGTTTCTGACAGAATTCTATGTCAGGATCAAGGAGAAAAAAAGTAAAACTTGGCTTCCAGGCAACCTGGACTATATAGCCTATTTTTAAGAAATGGGGCTGTTGGGAGAAGCCATTTGTCACCCTTAAGAGCACACAGGGCTGGCCTTTTCTCTGTGCTCACCTCCTGGGGAGGTGACCTCAGGCTTCTAAGAATGCAGGTCAGGTCCCAGGCACAGACCAGCATTTGTTAACCTTGCACTCCAACTGCAGTGCCTTGCAAATACTCAGCAGTACATATCGGAATGAAGTCCCCATGAGCGCCATTACTGGCCATGTCTTATACCTCAAGGTGAGGGGAGCAGGTGCAGAGATGGACCGCACACATGTAGTACCTTTAAGCCTCTGGGAAGACCCCTGTGCTTGAAAATCCTTCGTCCACATCCTGTCTCAGGTCTCATTGTAGTCCTTCATTTCCTTGGCTTTAGCATTTCCTGTCTCATAACAATACCAGCCTTCCTCTTTTCCTGGGAGGAGCAGCACATTTTGGTCATCTCTCAGCGGGAGTGAGATTGCCAGGCCCTTTTATCCTATGCAGACAAGGGGGGCGACATAGAGGACACTGGGCGCCAACATCATCCTCACTCTTGGGCTAGCAGCTGACCCTGCTCTCCCTTGCTGTCCGCTTGTTTGTTCCTCACCCGATGACGTGGCTTTGCCTCCTGCATCCACTCCACTGCCTGTGCTCTTCTGGGGGTTGCTAGTGGCCTTTTTGTGCTAAATACAGTGAACCCTTTTTATATCTTACTGGGGCTCTGCAGCATCTGACAGGGCTGACCACCCCCGGCTTCTGGAGTCGCGCTTCTGCGGCTCGTTCTCTTCCTACCTCTGTGGCTTCTCCTTCTGGTGTCTTATGCAGGCTTCTCCCCTCGCCCCATGCACAGTGGGGTTTCTCAGGGTCCTGTCGTGGGCTCTCAAGAGGAGCCCATCCATGCTGATGGCTTCAACTCTTTGCCAAGGAAGTGACAGTTGACCTCCAGCCCCAACATCCCTCCTGGGCTTCTGAACCACAGTTCTGCCTGCCGCCTTGGGGTGCACAAATAACTGTCATGGCCCCGGTGGCACTTGTTGCTGTCCTCTGCCTACCTGCCTCTTTTGGGTACCTGCTGTGGCCCTCAGACCTCTCAGAGGAGCCAGACCAGAAATAGGCTTTCTATCCCTGCTTTCTCTTTTTGGCACCCTGCCCCCGCCCCCGCCCCACATCCAGTCTCTACAAACGGTCAGGTTTGCCTTCTTAACATCTCTTGGTTAGAATAGAGCCACTCCCACTGTCATCAGCTTTCATGGGGTTATTGTGACAGCCTCCTCCTGCTGCTCTGTCCCACAGCCAGAGTTGTCTTTCTAAAATGCATAGTTGATCAAGTCACTTTCTGGCCTACAACCTTCCGTGCTCCCCACTACCTTCAGGACAAAATCCAGACCCCTTAGCATGGTTTTGAGACTCGTGCTGTCCTGCTTCCTGCTCGCCTGTCTGGCCTCATCACTTGCCACCTTGCACTCTGGGTCCCAGCCTCCTATATCCAGAGATGCCACTTTGATTCCTCTTTCTTCTGTTCACCTGGGCATCTTATACGTTAGTTCTCAACCCAAGATTTCCCTTCATCCAAGGAGCTTTGAGTGTGCCCCCGCCCCACTCCAGCATACCACACAGATCACTCTGGGCTTCCTTGCCCGTGGACAGGTCTGTCTCCTCACTAGACTGTAAGCTCCTTGAGGGCAGGGACTGCCCTTCAATTTTTGTATCAACCGTGCTTGGCTTGGTGCCTGGCACATAGAAAGCATTCAATAAATGTTTGTTTAATGAGTGATGTGTAGTGATTTGTACAGTAGATAGCAGGGGATGCAGGCTAGCTTCCTGGAGGAAGTTAAGTGCTTTCATAGCCTCCAGTTGAAGCCATAGGTCTTCCCTGCCAACCCCCAGATGTGCCACCTGTGCCTCCCTGACCTGCAGAAAGCACAGTGGCATCCCACAGTGGCAGGGAAGCCCGCGGCAGGGCGATGCATTAGCTGTGTCCCCCCACCCCTTCCTGTTGTGGACCTGGAGAATGAAGCATGAGGCTTAGAGCCTGCAGTAGGGCTTACTCTGAACAAGGGGCAGGATTTCCCAGTGGTTCCTCATCCTGAAAACCTGTCCCTGTTGGGTCGTTTGGGGTGAGGGGGAACAAAGGGGACACCAAATGTTACTTTCACAATGCTAGGACCTGGGATAGAGACTATCCCCCCACTCTGAGCTTTGGGCTCCTGTCCTAATTTGAACCTCTTGGAGGGTGTCCAAGGGATTTCTTTGAGGAGAGAAGGGAGACCTAGGATCTGGGCTCTCATTGGGGGGCAGGGGCTTTGATCTTGGGAATGGGAAAACTGTGGGCGCTCCTCCCCTTGTTCCCTGCCCGCAACATGAATGGCCACACCTCAGCCTTCACTGGCCTGCCTCAGGCGGAGAGGCTGCCAAAATAAGTTTATGAGGGAGGTTCGGGGGAGGGCAGAATGGGGAGTCCTTGATGAGCTCGCACTGCTGCCAGGAAGTCTTCGTCAAATGTCTCACGCAGGTTCATGGCCAGAGTGTCGGTCCAGAAGGTGTTGTCACCCAAGTAGCGCTTCCGGGCCACATCCCTCATGCTGACAGAATGGAAGCCCTGGGGCACCTTCATCCTGCACGGCCGCACCTGAGGGTACAGCTCGCGGACTATCACCTCTAAAGGCAGCCGAGGCACAGGTGCCACCTGCTTGCCAGCCACCGTGTGCAACTGCGCACCACCATGCCCATCAGACCTGACCTCGAGGAATCTGCCGAAGTCATGCTCGGGGCTGGGGTCTGGGTGCACACCCAGGCAGATGCCCTGCGGGTAGCCGATCTGGGTTCTGGGGGACCTGACAGGGTTGTTGCTAAGATTCCACAGCTTGGGCCGTCTGACTGTGGGCTGCTTGTAGATGGGTGTGGGTGTCACCAAGGGCTTCAGCTTGGGCTGTGGTATCTGTTGCAGGCACACCTCTGGAGAGGGGTGGAAACTCTTGTGAGGTTTGGGGGTCTTAGAGAGGGGGATGGTCCAGGGTGGAGCTTGCGGCTCTTGCTCAGTGTTGTGGATCAGAAATTTGCCTTGGGGCAGTAGTTTGCGTTGGAGCCACTTCTTGAAATCAGCTTCTCTCAGAGTTTGGTGTTCTTTCTGCAACATCAGAGGGCACAATGCAGGTGAGAAGGGCTGCTCCCCCTGGGCTTCTGTGCAAGGAGACCCTGTGACTGTAGCCCTCATAAATCTCAGGCGTGATTGGCCAGGTACCATCCCACCCCAGGAGAGCCCTGAATCTGATGGGAGAATCCACTGCCTTAAGAGAACGCTCATTCTGATGGGGAGACAACTATTGCTGGACAGGGGCCAGCCTGGGCTGATGGGGCAGACAGAGCCTCTCCCAGAGGGAACCTCCAATTTTATGGATACCCAGCCTCCACTCTAGGTGAAGTCTTCAACTTGAGGAGGGAGACATAGTCTCTGCCCTACAGAGAAACTTGAGTCTTTAGGGGGGGACCCGTTTTGATCGTGGAGACATATCCTGCCTCAAGAGGGTCTCTGGTTTGATGGGAGGGAGAGGCAACCAAGAAGCGTATGCTGCATCCGTGACCCTGGGAGAAGAAAGGAGAAAGTTTTGGGAGGCCTGGAGCTGGGTGGAGCTAATCTGGGCAGGCTTCTTGGAAGGGGTTGGCCTTGAGCAGTCATGCAGGGAGAGACAGCGGCTAGCTCTCCAGGCTGGGTGGTGAGAACTTGGTCTAGCTGTCTGCTCTTGCCTCTACTACAGTTATCCTTCAACATGTCACAGAACTGTCCCCCTCCTTACCCTGTGTCTCTGTCTCACTTCCCAGGCTGTTGCTAAGCCATCAGGTGGTTTGGAGATTGACCCAGCTCTGGTGGTAGGTTCTGATTAGGCTAAGCCTCTCATAATAATTCCATCAGCCTTGCCGCAGACCTAGGTTAATCAGTACATGGCTTTCCTTCAGCTCTAGGAATTGGAACAAGACTGGACATAGGACCTGAGGCCAATTAGAGATGAGGGGAGATCTGCAAGGGGCTTCTGGGAAAGTTTAGAGCCACAGGGACAGATGGGTTTTACCTTCTCTGGACAAATACAGGGTGGCGCAAAAGTAGGTTTACAGTTGTACGTGCGCAAAGCAGTTTATTCTTGTATTATTATTGAATTGTATTTTCCATACAAACAACTGCAAGCCTACTTTTGCCCTGCCCTGTATGTACCTGAGGACTGGGTGGCACTGACAGCAGACAAGCTCAGGGCTGAGAAAACTGGAGAAAAGTGCAGCTGGAACAGAGCTGGAGTCCTAGATTTGCCAGCCCCAAAGCCCTGCCCACTTCTGGATCCCCTTAGGATTCCCAGCGTCTTCTTTCTGGATTTTCTGGTTCTTGCATCCTATGTAATTACACCTGCTTAAAATCCTTTAGTAACTCCCTTCTTGCCCAGCCAAAGTTATCATTGATCCGGGCCCCTGCCAGATCTCTAGCATGTCAAACTCCAACTCACATCGGACACCCTGGCCGTACTGAATGTGTACTTCTCGGCCTGCACCATGCGTCCATGTTCCTCTGTGCCTCGCCACTGGGCTGTCTGTTCCTGCTGGCTGGTCAGCCCTTCCCTACTTTATATGGCCAACTCCTGCCCATCTTTAAAGATTCCTCTTAAGCACCGTGGTGTGGCTCAGTGGATTGAGTGCCAGCCTGAGAACCAAAGGGTCAACAGTTCAGTTCCCAGTCAGGGCACGTGCCTGGGTTGCAGGTCAGGTCCCAAGTTGGGTGCATGAGAGGCAACCACACATTGATGTTTCTCTCCTTCTCTTTCTCCTTCCCTTCCCCTCTCTCTAAAAATAAATAAAATCTTTTAATTAAAAAAAAAAAAAATTCCTGCCCTGGCTGGTGTGGCGCAGTGGATTGAGCAGCGGCCTGAGAACCAAAGGGTCGCCAGTTGGATTCCCAGTCAAGGCACATGCCTGGGTTGCGGGCCAGGTCCTCAGTAGGGGGCATGCAAGAGGCAACCACACAGTGATGTTTCACTCCCTTTTTCCTCCCTTCCTCTGTCTAAAAATAAATACATCTTTAAAAAAAATGGACTCCTTTTAAGCATTATCCGTCTGTCTGCCCCTGGGCCACCTTTTCTCTGGGAATATGATCTATCTCCCCTACTAAACTCTAAGCTCCTTGAGTGAGAAGACCACCTCTCATTGGTCTTTGGAGCCTCAGGGTCTAGCAGGTGCCTAGCAGAGTGTGTGTGCTCAGTGTCTGTTGGAAGGTTGGGTCTTTTCAACCAGTGTACTTCCCAATAAGGCAGGACCTGGGTCTCATTAGATTCTCCTCACTAGAAGGAGGGACCGCACTAGGAGGGGCTTCATAAATACTCGCTAAAGTAAGCTGCATTTGTGTCCTAAGAAAAGACTTTTGACCCAAAGAGTGGCTTCTAAGGGTAGAATTTTGTTAGAGGAGAGGAAGAGGGCGGCTCTTTCTGGATGGAACTACTGTCCACTCTCTGACCACACACGTGAGTCTGCTCACATGCCTGGAGACGCAGCTGATGCCCGGTGCCCCGGCAGCCCTACCCCTTACTTGCTGCTCAGTCAGGTAGTCTTGTTCCATGAGGGCCAGCTGGCCTTTGAGCTTCTTCAGTTTTCCCATCTCACAGGCGAAGTCCTTCTTGTCCCGTTTCCACATGGCATCCTTCAAGAACCTGGTGCCAGGGTGAGCATGTGTCATCCCCCAGTGACTGGGCTTCAACCTGGGAAGACTGGCTGCTGCTGAGCGCCTGGGTGGGGGCGGGAGGGGCTGCCAGAGATGAGGTGAGAAAGGTGACCCGCCCCCAACTTCCCAAGGCCCCTCTGGCTAACTGTTTCTGGTGAGGTGAGAGAGGAAAGTGTCTGATGTCTGATCGCTACCCTCCTGATGGGGAGCCAGGGGCAGGAGGGCAGTGCTAAACCCAAAGAGGTGAGACCTGTGGAAAACCCTTGGGAACGACATCCTGGGCAGGGGCCAACTCTGTGGCTAGGCACTGGCTTCCCAGACCCTCCTCTTAAGGGTTCCGCTTTGGGGAGGGCCCTAGTGGCAGGGCGGGGAGAGGGAAGGGGTGGCAGGCTGGAGGTGGTTCTCACACCCTCACCGAGCACAGACACGGTGGTTCCGTATTCTGCAATAGTCGATGGGTTTGCACCCCTTGGCATCTCGGGCGTGGACATTGGCACCGTTCTTCACCAGGACCTTCACACAGCTCAGCAGGCCCTCCCGGGCTGCCAGGTGCAGGGCTGTGGAGCCGTCGGACCTCTGACTGCGGAGGTCCTCCAGGGGACGAGGGCAGTAAGGAAAGACAAAAGGCAGCCACCGATCAGACAGGTGGGCAAACCAGCTTCCAGGCCTGCTCTGCCACCAGCCCCCAGGGCGACCCTGGCATGTTCCTTCTCTGTCCCTCAGTTTCCTCAACCGCAGAAGGGGAGTTAGGACTAAATGAGCAGTCGAAGTCTGGTTATGGGGGTGTGGGCCAGTTAAGAACTGCTGGAAGGAGGGTTGGTTGGCGGGAGCTCAGAGACGACTAACCTCATCCTCTTAAATCAGCCCTCCTGCCCCTTCCCCAAGCCTGGTCATGGCCCATAAGCCCTGGGCCCTACCTCATCCTCTGACCTTGCCCCAGTCTTTCCCAACGCATGGCCTTTGCACACGATGTTCTTTCCTCTGCCTGGGACACTTTCTTCTGGCTCTTTGCATGGCTGGCTAACCCTCTTCAAGTTGTATTTTAAATGTCACCACCTTAGAGGCAACTGCCCACTCCAAAATAGATTGTCTCCCTTCCCCCGTACTCCCCATCCTACCACCCTGTTTATTCCAGTCATAACCATTTACCACACTGTCATTTTGTTCATTTACTGAGCTAATTGACTATCTGCTTCTGAGCTAGGACATCAGCTTCATGAGGGCAGGGACCGTTTCTGTGTGTTCACTGCTGTATCCCTCACCTCCGGCATAATGCTTAGCACGTAGTACATGCTAGACAAACATTTTGGGTGAATGCAGCCTCCTATAGGCCACCCATGTCCTCCCCACGCACTTTCTCAATTATCACAATGGTCTCATGTTAGGCATTGTCATCCTCCCAAATTTCAGTTGAAAACACTGAGGCAGTTAAGTGGTTCCCAACCTCTGCTGCAAATCAGAAACACCTGTGGATCTTTTACGACTTCCAAAGCCCAGGCCACACCCTAGACTGGTTAAGTTACGACCTCTGCATTGGGCTTTTTGAAGCCCCCCAAGGGATTCAAAATGTACTGAAGGGCACCGAGGCTTACAACTGAGGGACCCGCCTGAGGTCTCCACGTGTGCTAGCAGATGGCAAAGCTGGGACATGAACTAGGTCTGCCCGTTCCCAGAGCCCAGTTTATTAATTAGGACACCATGTGGGCTATCTGTTTTATGTGGGACCCAATTCTTGTCACCCCACAGCCCTTCGGCCTGTCCTGGAAGTGGGTTCCTATCTGCCCAGCCTCCAAGCCACTCTCCTGGAGCAGGCAGGACTCACGTGTCGAGCGCCGCCCCCTTCTTAAGCAGGTAGTGGAGGCAGGGGAGGGCCATGGTCCTGTTTCCCCTGTGGATGGCGAGGTGCAGTGGTGTCTGGCCATTGTTGGTGGGCAGGTCCACAGGAAACTTGAACTCCTCTACCAAGACCTGCAGGCATTCAAGCCGGCCGCTTTGGGCTGCAAAGTGGATGGCAGCGAAACCCTGCGGTGGCCAGAGGAGGGCAGGAGGAGGCTGAGCAGGAAGGGGGCCCCAGGTCCAAAACTAACCTAGGCAGCCATTCCTTAGGGCTCCCCTTCCCTTTGACCCCCCTCAGGAGTCCTCACACCCCTTTCCCACTCCTATGTGTGCTCACTCTTCCTTCATGCCCCCGAATGACCCTTCCATGATGGGGAGGTGAATTACGACGATCTACTCAGAAAAGGACATTTCTGGATGCTCTTTGCCAGGTGAGCAGGAGGCGAGGAGCTCTTGGTGGACGGGGAGGGCCTTGGCATTTGGCCCTGCACGCCAGGGCCTTTACCTTGTAATCTGTGGGGATTTCCCTACGGTCTGGATTCAGGCAGAACCGCAGCCATTCCAGGTTGCCCAAGGCAGCTGCGAACAGCTCGTAACATCTCCCGATCTCTCTCTGGTCCCACTCACCGACAAGGCTAGAGTCAGCGCGGGGGTGGGGGGAGAAGGGAGGAGTGATTGGAGGACGCCGTGGCAGGGCCCAGCCCCGCGTGGGCGAGGCCGTCACTTTAGCACGAAGCATTTCTGCAGGTTGGGCCAGCGCTGGCTGGCGGCAGGGCAAGGAGGAAGCGGCCGTCCCTGAGCGTCCCCGAGGGCCCCAAACGCCTCTCCGGAGGTCAGCCGGAACCCCAGCAAAGCTTTCCTGGTTCCTCAGCAGCCCCGACCCAGCCGCTCCGGGCCCCGCCCTTCCAGAGAGGCGCTGGGCGGGTTCCCACGCTGCAGCCGGGCCACCTATTCCCCGGCTCACCTGGGCCGTTCGGACGCAGAGTTACTCCAGGTGAACTGCGAGGAGACCTTCTCAGGCGGCTTCAAAGAGGCACGTGCTGTTGCTGCGCCTACCGAGAGGCACCGCGATGTCCCCAGGCTCTGGCTCGCCAGTTTGAACTCGTGTAGGGGGCGGGGAGGGGGGCGGGGCTGACACCTCTCCGGCCGCCCTGAGCCAGTCCAGGGACCGAGCCCGGGCGCCTGTGAGGGACCTGGCCTCTGCCAACCCTGCCACCCCAACTGCCCGGGCCCAGTCTGCTGGAAACTCAGCATCAAACGCACACACAGCAGACTGAAAGAGCTTAGCTCTTGTTTCTGATTATAAAATTAATGTTCTGATTGTAAAAAACAGAAAAGGACAATGAAGAAAGCAAAAACCACAATCCCACCAGCCAAGAAATCATGGTCTATATGTTATATATCACAGAGACAATTTGTACCTCTTTTAACTAAGTAAGCATTGTATCATGTGATAACTTCCACCGACCTTCCACAAACCAAACGCACATTGTGACGCAACCTACCCAACATCAGAATAGATGCGCTGTCATTTCACACGTGCTGCAGAAAGCAAACGGGCTCCTCTCTGGTTGTTTTCTTAGCACGGATTCCTGGGAGTAGAATTACTAAGTGGAAGGGAATGAACTTTTTTTTAGATGTTAATGTTTCTAAACTGCCCTCCAGCAGGGTTTCATATTCATTTACACATCCACCTGCAGCGAAGCAGGCGCTGCACATCCGCGGTGTGACAAGTTACTTGACCTCTGTCTCAGTCTCTGCATCAGCAAAATGGGGATAATTGTACCTACTTCGCAAGGAGAGAAGGGGCGTGGACAATGGGATGAGGCTATTATTAAAAGGCACTGCTCCAACCATCACTAGTACCGGGTAGTATGATTTTAAATAAACGTTTGCTAATTTGGTAGCAGCAATGGCGCTCTAATTTGCCCTGATTACCAGCAAAGGTTACACACTTGTTTATCAGTGTTTTTCTCTTCTGGGAGTTATCTGTTTATTCACATTGTTATTTGAGGGTCTTAATGTGTTTCTTATTGATTCATAAAACTTATTAACATAGTAATCATTTATATATTCTTGTTGTCAGCATTTTCTTCAGTTTGCCTTTTTTTACAATATATTAGTCAAACAATCAGTGTTGCTTGAATCAGTGTTGTTACTGAACAATTTCTGTTCTTGCCCCTTCTCAATTAAAAATGGGCAAAGAACCTGTATACACTTCTCCAAAGAAGATGTATAAATGGCCAATAAACACATGAAAAAAAGCTCAACGTTGATCATAAGGGAAATGAAAACCAAAATCACAGTGAGATATTACTTTATACCCACTAGGATGGCTATAATAAAAACACAGATAAGTGTTGTTGAGGACGTGGAGGAATTGGAACCCTTGTACACTACTGGTGGGAACGTGAAATGGTGTAGCCACTTTGGAAGTGGATTTGCAGTCTGGCAGTCCCTCAAAATGTTACACTTGAAGTCACCATCTGATACCCAGACATTTCACTACTAGGTGTATACGCAAGAGAAATGGAAACATGTCCACACAAAAACTTGTATTTGAGTGTTCATAGCATTATTTGTGATAGCCAAAAGTGGAAACAACTACATGTCCAGGAAACAGCAATGGATAAACAGAAAGTGGTACATCCATGCTGTGGAATACTATTTGGCAATAAAAAGAAATGAAGTACTGATACATGCTACAATGTGGATGAACCTTGAAAATATGGTAAGTGAACGAAGCCAGTCACAAAAGGCCACATATCATTTGATCCTAGAGTCACTTAAGCAGGAGTTGATGCAGGTTGGGCCAGCGCTGGCTGGCGGCAGGGCAAGGAGGCAGCGGCCACCCCTGAGCGTCCCCGAGGGCCCCAGGCCCCTCTCCGGAGGTCGGCCGGAACCCCAGCAAAGCTCTCCGGGTTCCTCGGCAGCCCTCACCCCGTCTGAGTAACATGCTATTGTATGTGAAATGTTCAGGGTAGGCAAAGCCTAGGGCCGGGGAAGGGACATAAGAGGAGTTTGAGGGGTGATGGCTAGCAGTGCAGGGCTTCTTTTTGAGACAATGAAAACGTTCTAAAATTGTGGTGATGGCTGCACAACTCTGTGAGTGTATCATACTAAAAGTTGTTGAATTGTACAATTATAAATGCATAAGTCATAGGGTATGTAAATTATATCTCAATAAAACTGTTATGAAATAAAAACAACCCTATGCCATGTGGACAGCCACATACTTTCCCCAGATGGCTGTGAATTGGCATGGGGATGGGACTTTTATTATCAGGTCCTTCTCAGGGGTCAGTTCTTGATCCGAGAATTCTGGCTGGTTCTACAACACATTGATCCAGAAGTGGAACTCAGCCCTTTGCTGAAGTTCCATCCTTCAACCTTCCCTGCCTCTTAGGAAGCATTCATGACTTCATTATAGATGGGGCAGAGGAGACAAGAGGGGTGATATTACAGAAGAGCGGATAGCTTTCAAAGCAACACCCAGTGTCCTGGGTTGTTTTAGAATGCTCTTCACCCATTTTTAATTGGGGGCCTCTCCTCTGCCTTTCACTCCACCCATGTCCCTCAGGCTCTCCAGTAACTCCCCTCCCTCTCTTCTTGTCTGGAACACACTAAATTCCTCCCTAGCATTTCTCAGACAGAGCTGGTTAGGGTCAGACAAACTTTTGTGGCCTAGATTGTTCTTTACATGGCCCCTGAATTCATCTTCCACCCAGGAATGTACCAGGGTATTTTCTAACAATGATAAATAACTCCCAAAAAGAAATTCTATTGTCAGCTGTTAAGACACTATTGTGCCTTTTTTTTTAAGTAGAGAGAATAGTTTAACGAACACCATGTACCCATCACCCCCACTTTAACAATCACCAATGTTTTGCCAATCTTATTTTCACATAAGATAAACTCTTCATCTCAATTACTTCTTAGCTGGGGGGCTTTTAAAATACTAATACAAATGCTCCTATCAGAACAAGACATAGAATACAGGTTTGGCAATCTGTTTTTTCCCAGTGCCAGGAAGCCAGAGAGGGATGGAGTGTGCATGCAGCCCCACCCCAGCTGGCGGGGGGCTGACGGTGGGCACAGAAGAGGGTGGCTCAGGGGCTCAGGTGCACGGAACCATGGAGGATGGGGAGGGGTGCGAGGACACTGTGCGGAAGGCAGGGGTCCCAGAGCCGGTCCGGGGCCTATTGCGGAAGGGACTAGAATGCAGTGTCGGTTGTGGTGTCCTGCGGCGCCCCCTCTCGGGAGTAGAACTCATCGATCACACTCTGTGGGATGCGCTTCAGCATCTCCTTGGGGAAGATGCGCAACAGCTTCCAGCCCAGGTCCAGAGACTCGAACACTGAGCGGTTCTCATAGGGGCCTAGGGACAGAGGACGAGTGTCAGGTGTACATGTGTAGGTAAGAGGATTACTGTCTGACCACCCCCTACGCCCCTCACCCTGGTTGATGAAATTCTTCTCGAACTTCTGCAGGAATTCCAGGTAAAGCAGGTCCTCTGAAGTAAGCGCCTCTTCCCCCACCACTGCCTTCATGGCCTGCACGTCCTTCCCGATGGCGTAGCAGGCGTACTGGGGGAGGGGGCAGAGTGGGCAGGCGGTCACCGCAGGATTATCACCTGAGCCCCATGGCTCCCAGTATGGCTGTGATGGGTGGGAAATGGGGTGGTGGTGGGGGGGACAGCTTTTGGGGGAGGGATTTTGCCAGGAGAAAAGCTCATGGTCTAGATAGGTCTCAGGCCTTCAGCATCTGAAACCAGCATCTACACTAGTCCCTGGGTCTGCTCCTTCTTACCAGCTGGTTAGAGACATCTCCGTGGTCCCTTCTTGTCATGCCCTCACCAATGGCTGACTTCATCAATCGCGACAGGGAAGGGAGCACGTTGATGGGGGGGTAGATCTAGGAGAGCAGAAGATGAGGCAGAAGGCATGGTCCAGACTCCCATTTCCTCCCCACCCTGCTTGTCTCCCCACCCCCCCTCCACCCTGGAGGTGTCAAGGGTCTAGTCCTCATTCATCCTATACAGAGGTGGCCCACAAGCGCCCTCCCCTATCTCTCAAAAATCCTAGGGCTTGGATGTGTAGGTGTCTACATGTGTAGCGGGGAGATGGCATGACACCAGTTAATGAAAGACTCACTATTTCAAAACTTTTGATTGTTTGGACAAAACCAGGTTGATGCTCAAGGTAATAGCTACAAAGAAAGAACTTTCCAAACAAAGAGGAAAAAGTCATAAGGTTTGCCTTTAGCTTCAGGTGGGACAGACGTTTTCTAACCCACCGACACATTATTCACCATCTACTTGTGTCGGCTACCCATTGTTTTCAGTTCACCAGAGCAAGTTATTGGAAAGGGAAGAGAGATAGTATTTATTTAGTATCTAGTATCTTCTGGATGCTTTCTGTATGCCAACTTATTTTATCCTCCAAAATACAACTGAGTGATGAAGTATTTTTATTCCCATTTTAGAGAAGAGGAAACCTAGAATCAGAGAGATGACCTTATTTTCTCAAGTTCCCATAGCCAGGTAGGCTGGATTCTTCCCAGACCTGTCTTCTGCCTGTGAACCAGTCTCCCCGGGGCATTGTCTCCTGTTTGGTGCTGGCCTTCCTGGCGGTCATTCTTAATTCACGGAGAGATGAAGCACACGGGGGGTGCAGAGAACAGAGAGTGGGTGGGGAGGGGACAGTACCTGTCTGTTATGAAGCTGTCTGTCCACATAGATCTGTCCCTCTGTGATAAAGCCTGTCAGGTCTGGGATCGGGTGGGTGATATCTACAAGGAAATTCGCTGGCCTCAGTGTGGATGGGGACCAGGGTCTCCACCCACTCAAGGCCACCTGGGTTCTTTTACCACTATGGGAGCAATAGGAGTGGGTGGGGGCAAGGACAGGACAGTGTCTACCCTGATGGAGGAACAGAGCGACTACATATCTGGGCAAAGAAGCAGGGGCCCCAAAGTGTCGGGGTGGGCAGGGAGGGCGGGGGGCTGCAGAGGGCAGGGGGCAGGGAGCAGGCTCACCGTCATTGGGCATGGTGAGGATGGGGATCTGAGTAATGGATCCGCCGCGGCCCATTACACGGCCTGCCCGCTCGTAGATGGTGGCCAGGTCCGTGTACATGTATCCAGGGAAGCCTCGGCGCCCGGGCACCTCCTCTCTGGCAGCTGAGACCTGCAGCATCCATGGGCATTGGAGTAAGAAGGGCGGTGAGAGGCTGAGACAAGGAATGGTGAATGGA